AATTTGTGCTTTATAGTCAGTTGTCACTTGGCTAATAAGTTGCACATAATTCATGCCTGTAGAAAGTAGGAAGTTATGGAGCGACGCTACCTCCAAAGTCTAAAGGGATAACTCCAAACCAAAATATACACTTGAGTAACTTGTGTAATTCAAGACTGAGTTGAAATATGAATTCTGGAGTTACTGGCTAACTCCAAAAATCATTTGGAGCTAAGTATACAACTGCAAAAATAATTTAGGAGTTAGGCATCTAAGCCTGGAGTTACTGGCTAACTCCAATAATCATTTAGAGCTACGTATAACTCCAAAAATCATGAAAAACAAGGTATTTAAGCCTTGAGTTACGCCTAACTCCAAAAAGTATGTGTATAGCGAGGCGAGTCAGCCTATAGCCGCTAGAAACATACATGTAAGGTTGAAGTTACTTGCTGTGTTGCTAACTCCAAAAATCATTTGGAGCTTGTTATCTAAACCAGGAGTTACTGACTAACTGGAATAACTGGAATAACTGCAAGAACTCTCAGAATGCACTTCTATATTCCGCTGTATTAAATAAGACTGAAATACCCACAATATGCGCATAAACATGACATTGACACACTTGGCATTTTGTGCTCGTTCAGAGGCTAAATTTTGATCTGCAGTTGACTGTTGAGGCAAACCCATTCTCGTACACCCGCGTCCTTGTCATGCTCTGTTGATCGTGTGTAAGGCGGGCTCTGGGTACGAGAATGTGGCATAGTCCAGCTCCATTTAAAGATTGGCTACCTCCACAAAAATAAAATCTACAGGTATGGCACATATTGCTTTTCTTCGATTAAATACTTAGAAAGTGTTGGATGCATTTTCAAACAGGTTAACATTAAAATCACCAAAAATGGTAACAGGAGTATTTGGGTAATTTATATATGTGGAGTGCAAATGTTTTAAAGCATCTATGAACATTGTGCAAAGGCTAACAAGTTGCTTGGCTTCCTGTGAAGATCTGCTGTGGAAGTAAAAAATCCAAACACCCGCCACACGCTCTACCTGGCAATTGTGTGTCCTGCTTTAGGCTACACCACACAAGTCCGGTCACTGCAGTCAATTGAACTAGTCGGACAGACAGAGCGTGTTCAACGCCAAGCTTCAAAATTTATCCTTAAGGTGGCTCCCTACAGTTCTCTAAAATTCTAGGTATTTTGAGTATCGTTCGCTTTGAACCGAATTTATATTAGATACACTTAAGACAAGGCCATATGATCATTTCCAGGAAAGTTCAGAAGCTGTGTGCTGTCCATTTATGAACAAATTAAAACAGTGTTTGTGTTGCCATGGCAACCATGACGTTTAATCTTTTGCACTTTTATTGTCTAATTTCACAATAAATTGACAATATCTATATTTTCCTTCGGTGAATTTTTCTGAAATTTGTTTTTAAGATTTATGGTCCAAGAAGGAAAAACATATCAAAATTTAAAGGGAATTTACAAATAAGTTTTCGAGATATTCGTGAATGACGGTTACAGAAAAAGTTATTTGTAGAATTTCTTAAAATTTGGATATATTGTACCACTCGTCTTGTATAACAAAAATACAAAGTTTAAAAAAATTTCACCGAAGAAAACACGAGAAAATCATCGCTAAAATCGGCTCGACATGAGCACGATCTGCGCATGCATGTAAATTGTAGCGTGTGATTTATAGTAATTTCAACTTTTTGGCTTACAATACATAAGAAAACAGATATTTCTGACTTGTTTGATATGAAAATAAAATATTAATCTTGAAAATACTAATAAAAAACACTATTATAGGCATTGTATTAAATCCAGAGTTAGTTTACATTTGTTTTTGTTGTTAAAATCGGTGTGAAAACTTTTCAAAACATCGAACTACAAGTTTAACTTTTCATATAAAACAACTCATAACTGTTTTATTTGATTTAGCAGATAAAACGATACCTGTGAATTGAATTGATTGACAGAACTTATATAAGTTTCGGCAACAGTTCACTACTGTTCAAGAGTTAATAGAAGACAGTATCATTTCAGTTTGACAGCTCGCAAAACAACAAGTTGAAAATTTTGAGCAATATGAAAGACAATACTGAACGTAAATACGTAAAAACACACTAAAAGATAGGTTAAACTAGTTAATAACATACGTACTGTTCGAATTCAGAAAAAATTAGGATTATAATGAAAAACTGGGGCTTTCTTTGTAGATAAAAACGCCAAAAAACTTCCCACGGCTTGTTTCAATATTTTTGCCGAACAGTAAACACGACGATTCCACGCGCAGGTCGCGAGGATGAAGTCTGATCTATATAAATCGTATTTAAACTGTACTAACTGTAGGGAGCCACCTTAAGCTGCCCTTCACATGCACAGAATCCTACAAAGACAGACTGATGTCTATAAATCTGTTACCAGTCTCTTATTGGCATGAGTATCTTGACTTGATGTTCTTTTTTAAGGCCATAAATCTATTATAACTGTTCTGAAGGAAATCTTGCCAAAATGGTCTATTCCCTCAAGGCCTACTCGATCATCTTCAAATAACAGTGTTATCATGTACCGTCGTCGTAGATATAAGACAGCCACCTATCAATGGTCATTTTTTAATAGAGCAACTAGAACCTGGAACTCCTTACCCGAACACTTAAGACTAGATAATTTATCTCTAACGTTATTTAAAAAGTCACTATTAGAATACTACAGTTTCTAAACACATTAATATCTGCTGCTTTTACATTATAATCACTCGCAACGTGAAGACATAATGATCTCACATTTTGGAATAATATTTTAAGGTCTCACTAGTATCTTCATAAATAAATGGAAGATGGCTTTTAAGTACAGAATTTTGTCTTAATATTGTCATTTCTTCTTGTACCTTCTTGCTCACAGCTATTTTCTTTTCGTTCAGATTAAGAATATGTAATCACGAAATGCTTCTAAGTCTGCTAAGAGCAACATAATGCATGTGTTCTTGCTTTAACGATGGAAGGTCAACAACAGCTTCATTTAACTCTTTCTCGACAACCGGTTTCGTATTACATTTCGATACAATTTTTCTAATATAAATATCTTGGCGAGTATTTACCCCCCTTTTAAATAAATGCCACCATTGAAATCCTCATAAAATAACCTTTCGAACGGGGGGTCAAGTGCCATCAAAACATTACACAAAGCGAAACAATCATATATTTACTCACCGCTTGGCCAAAGATTCTAAATTTCATATCCACAAGATCTTGAATACCCCTTGAACTTTTCGTCATTTGCTGAACGGCTATACGTGTAAAATACTCTCTGTATTCAAGCACTTTCGTGTAGAAAGTTTCGTATGTATACGCCGACTAGAAATATTTATTTTGAATTTTTCAAGTGTCGGGTTTTACTCGCACTTGCGTACATTGCGCAATAATTGGCCAATAAGAAGCTCCTTTGGCCGGGATGACGTCAAACTCACACGTGTAGGTGCAATTTGACCTTGCGAATCCATTTCTGGCCTTTCCAGGGTCATACGATACAAACGCCGCATTGTTTTGATGGTTTTGAGTCGTATTTCCGGTTGGGATTAATTCACTTCGAGCTCACAGTCGGACAAGAAATGGAAATATATTGATAAAAGATACAGATTTGTAGATTCAGGGTTGCAAATAACACTCCAAAAACACTATTTAATGGGGATTCGAACAAGACTATTACAAAGACGATATGTTCGATGGGGCCGAAGTTATTTTCGGCAAAAGGTATGGCTAGTCTATAATAATCTGTATTTTTGTTCAGACAATTGCATAATTTGATACAATATGATCGTTTTGACTTTCAAAGGCCCATAAATCGTTACAATACTAATAATGACTATAACTATCGTTTGGAACTAGTTGATATTTTATTTCTGAATCGAATGGTGGTATTTCTGTCTTCATAGCATGCACTGAACCGAAAGTATGAAATTTCGAGCCTGTCGACCGCGAGCGGTCGACGAAATTGGACCCTGTTGAGAAAGAGTTAATGTATCTCCTTGACAACAGTGAATAGTTTTGGCTGCAGATAGTCTTAAAGGAAACTGTCTGTGAAGAACTTGTATTTTATTTTTTGTAAACTGTCTTTTTTACCTCAAGAATTGGAACCCACATTTTCTCTATACTTTGATTGTAAAGATAAGAGTATTCTCTGTGATAATCATTCCCAAAATGTTGTTCTTAAAATGAAACCCAGATAATACTTGATCTTGATGAACCTTCTACTCGGTAATCGATTTTGTTGATTGTACATTCCGCACTATTACTCATACCATCTAAAACTGACACGTTTGTCGTGAGGTCATACTTTGCTTCCTTAAGTATTGAACACACTGAGTACAAGCCCATGGTTTTCAAAGGATTGTTCGGGATTTTTTGTAGTCTTACTCTTAAGGCGTCAGATAAATCTCCAAGTACATTGTCTGTTGCTTTAATGTCGACCTTCTCGTTTGAAAATTTCTGAAAACGTCATGATTATGTTGATTCAACGGCCATATTAGTACTGAATAAATGGGTTAAAGATATTGGATAATCAGGATGTTGTGGACTAATGTTTAAAATTCTTTCCTTCAAAACTTCAATGTCAGCTTTCAGTACGATTTCCTTCTCTCTCAAATATCCAATTATCGAACACAGGTTTCAGTTGAAATAAGTCGCCAACAGTTATTATGCTAAGACCTCCAAATGGTTCTTTTGTAGCCATCATTCGTTGCAATCGTAAGTCAAGAAAATTAAACATAGCACTGCCTACCATAGCTATCTCGTCAATAAAAATAACTTGCCTTCTCTGTAACTGAGATCTTAGTATTGTATTGAGGAAAACGACAATGAAAGACTACATGCGGATAATAACACAGACATAGCGAATATGTTTAATGAATATTTTGCTTCCATCTTTACGTCTGACTCTGACAGTAATTCTAAACGCCAAGATCATTCACAAGTTACTACAATTGATAACATTGCATTATCGGAGGAAGAAGTTATGGCTGTGATAATGAACTTAGATAGCAATAAAGCACAAGGTCCAGACAACATTCCAGCTCGTTTGTTGAAAGAAACAGCCATGCAGATCACCCCACCACTCTGTGCACTATTTAACAAGTCTCTACATGTTGGTGTTCTTCCTAGTGTCTGGAAGCTTGCAAATGTGGTCCCTGTCCATAAACATGGAGAGAAGACTTATGTCGAAAACTATCGACCAATTTCGCTGCTATCACTCATCTCCAAGGTTCTCTAATGTTGTATATTCAATAACATCAAATATCACGTTTACGAGCAGATAAATCCTTGTCAGAACGGTTTTATGCCTGGGAAATTGTGCATCACTCAGCTTATTGAAGTTCTCGAACAGATAGGCTGTGAGTTGGATTGCGGCAAGCAGATTGACATACTTTATTTGGACATGTCGAAGGCGTTCGATAGAGTAAGTCACGCAGAGTTAATACATTGGTTCAATTCTTATCTGACCAATCGATACCAGCAGCAACCGTTCTCTGAGCAACGTCGAAACCACTCCCGGTAACATCAGGAGTGCCACAGGGGTCCATCCTCGGTCCGTTGTTGTTCTTGCTGTACGAGAATCATCTCTCCAATGCTGTGACTAATTCAAACATTGCTACATTTGCTGATGATATCAAAATCTTCAAGACCATCAATTCCATCTCTGATGCAGCTGCTCTGCAGTGTGACCTGTCAAAATTTGAGAAATGTTCGACCAACGTGAACCTGGAATTAAATGCAAGCAAATGCAAATTGTTAAGAGTCACCTGTATGCACAACAAAATCATCTACCCGTGTACGCTGCATCACACCATTCTAGGAAGCACGGACAGTGAGCGTGATCTTGGGATATTAACTTCATCTAGCCTGACTTGGTTTAAACATGTCGAGTACCAGTGCGCCAAAGCCTCCAAGACCCTAAGATACATTCGTAGATCAACTTTCGACATCAAAGACATTGCAGTTCGCCGCACTGACCAATCCTGACCATTTGTCATTCACGGCAACACGATGCAAGACAACCACATTCCAAAAGTCCTATTTAAATAGGTGTACCAGAATGTGGAATGTACTACCAAAGAACTTGACAGGCAATAACACCAGCCTTAGTTGTAATGATTATAAGAGAGTAACTATCTTTATTCTATCTAGTATATAATGATGCTAAGTCTATTTACAAAAGCTCTATTTATACCCTAATTCTAATCGTACCAGGCTTACTCATGCATATATAATTAATCATGACATCTCCCCCTTTCGGAGAGATAAATTAAACATGCAATAACACTAATTAAACAAAGTTTCTAATTTTGTCCTACTAGAATGTAATTCAGATTAAATGTCATTTAAAGTTAATGAAATACTAATAATCCTATATAGAGTTAATAAATTGTTCGTAATCTAGTATTTATTGTAAATGTTTTCTTTTCCAATAGTTTTACTAATTTAATGTTCATAATCCTGTAGCCAGGCAGGTGGTCTAACATTTCTACCAGATCTTGTTTTATACGGGGACTTCTGGTCCGCAACAGGAAGGGAAGAACACGTTGAAGGAATGGAAGAACACGTTGTAGGTTGAGGAATGGAAGAACACGTCGTAGGTTCTTGGGCAATAGCAGTGGATTGAGTATCAGATGTTGCTGGTTCCATCACTTCCACTTTATTGTCTCTCAAATCTTGTGGACCTTTTCCGATAAAGCTTTCATCTGTGCGCAGAAGATCTCTCCTATTTCTTCTTAATAATCTGCCTGTTTCATCTTGTAAGATGTAAGATCTAGGCTTATCTGCCTTCTTCATTACTTGTGCCATGGAGTTCTAGCTTTTTCCATGCTGAATCCTTACCGTTGATCCCTCTGCAAGAGGACGAAGGAACTTTGTCTTGACATCATAATATTGTTTCTGTTTCTGTTGTTTCTCTAGTACTGATTTGTTCAGGTACAATGTTTCTTGCTTCAGTCTTGGTAGTCTTGTACGTAACTTTCGATTCATCAACATGGTGGCTGGTGCTGGTAATCCATCCGGACCCGGACATGCTCTGAAATTCATCAATGCTAGATATGGATCTTCTTCATCTCTAGAAGCCTTCTTCATTAGTGACTTTATTGTTTGAACTGTCTGTTCAGCTTTGCCATTTGCTTAATGTGCTGAAAATCCCATTTCTTTGCAAATTTTTGAAATTCCTTGCTTGAATATTGCGGACCATTGTCCGATATAACAACTCTCGGAATGCCGTGTCTCGCAAATATCGATTTAGCGTGCTTGATTACGGTGGAGCTGGTGGTGTCTGGCAAAAGACTAATTTCTGGGTAATTGGTGTAATAATCAACTACGAAAAGGTAATCTTTGCCTTGGATCGTGAACAAATCAGTTCCAACTCTTGTCCAAGCTTCAGTTGCTGGTGGCAACGGTTGCATTGGTTCTCGTTGATGTTTTCGTCTAAATTCAAGACAGGTGCTGCATCGTGAAATCATTTCAGTGATCTCAGAAGACATGCCAGGCCAATACAAAGCTTCTCGAGCACGAGCTTTGCACCTTTCTATGCCTAGATGCCCTTCATGTATCCGGCTCTTCATCTCTCTCCTCATTGACGTTGGCACAATGATGCGACTGCCCCTTAGCATTATGCCTTCTGCTTCTGAAATTTCATCTAGATGGGTTAGGTATGGCTTAACTGCATCTGGAACTGTCTTTTTGTCATTAGGGCATCCTTCTCGAATGAACAACTTCAATTTCTGCAGGTTTTCATCCTTTGCAGTTTCTCTCTTGAGCTCATCTAGTTTGGACATAGACACTGTTAGACTCTTGATTATGGAGTGGACGTGACATCGAATTTCTTGTTCTGGAACTTCTGGTTTGACTTGATGATTGAGATATGCTCTGCTGAGTGTGTCGGCTACAGGAATCTCACTTCCTGGGGTAAATTCAACTCCAAGATCATATTTCTGAAGTCGTAGCATGAATCTCTGGATTCTTGGGGGTGCTTTGTTGAGCGGTTTGGAAAAAATTGCCTTCAATGGCTTGTGATCTGATCGTATTATAACCCGCTTTCCATAAGTGTATTCATGAAATCGTTTGCAGGTGAATACTATAGCGAGTGTTTCCTTCTCAATCTGTGCGTAATGTTGCTCACATTGAGTCATGGCTCTGCTGGCAAATGCAATTGGTTTCCATTCGCCATCATAGTTCTGTTCCAGAACTGCTCCAAGGCCTGCTTTCGATGCATCTGTGGTGACTCGTGTGGGTAGTTTCGGTTCATAATAAGCTGGACTGCTGGTAATCATCTTCTTCAGCGTGTTTATTGCTGTTTCGTGTGGCTGTTCGAAGCGCCATTGGACATCTTTCTCGAGTAGTTGACGCAGTGGTGCTGTTTCTTTCGACAGATTTGGCAGGAATTTACCGAGATAATTAATCATTCCCAGAAATCTTTGTAGCTCTGTTTTGCTAGTTGGAGTTGGCATCTTCAGGATAGCTTCGATTTTGTGAGGATCTGGCTTGATTCCATCAGCAGAGATAAGATGACCAAGAAAGGTTATTTCTGTAATTCTGAAGGTACATTTCTTCTTATTCAACTTGAGTCCAGACTCTCGAACTCTGTCAAGGACCTGCTTGAGGGCTTTGTCGTGCTCTTCACTATCTTTCCCAAAGTTGGAACACTTCCGCTGCACTGTGTATCCCAAATGGCAGTCTTTTAAATCGGTGTCTGCCAAAGGGCGTGTTGAACGTAAGCAATTTGGAGCTTTCGTCATCGACTTTTATTTGCCAGTAACCACTTGACGCATCCAATTTTGAAAAAATTTTTGCTCCTCCAAGCTTAGCTAATATTTCATCGACAGTTGGCATGGGATGATGATGCCGTTTAATTGCTTTGTTAAGATCTCTTGGGTCAAGACATAGGCGGATTTGGCCATTAGGTTTCTCGACGATCACCAAGGAACTCACCCAATCAGATGGTTCATCAATCTTATCTATCACGTCAAGTTATTTCATTCTTTCTAATTCAGCTTTAAGTTTGTCCATCATCGAGATGGGAATTTTTCTAGATGGATGTATGATGGGCTTAACTTCAGGATCAGTAATAATACGATGCTCTCCTTGTGAACAGCCGATTTCACCAAATACGTCTTTATATTCTGTCATTAAATTTGGATCTGAGGTGTTGACAGCCCATACTCGTTTGATAATATTGAGCTTTTGACAAGTTTGGAGTCCAAGAAGTGGTGGTGATTCGGTGTTGGTGACGATGAACATAACTTTGTGACTTTCATTCTTGTTTACTAGGTTTAATTCACACTTCCCAATTGCTGGTATATCTCCTCCATTATATGCTGATAATTTCAATTAGTTTTTTCTAAGATGGGCTTGATGTTGAGTTGGTTGTATGTTGATAATGGCAGGACGTTCGCTTGAGCTCCTGTGTCCATCTTATATCGGATTTTAGAACCATTTGATTGTAAACAAATGAACCAATCTCGCTCATCAACTTTCGGCGACATTGTATTTTCCTCAGGTGTAGCTTTACTTTGTTTACTCTGTTCAACAACCCCAATGAAAAATTCTTCATTGTCGCTTTCTTGTTGTAGTTTGGCTTGTGTCAAGTCAATTCGTTTTTGACTTGAGAGACAGACCGAGGCAAAATGATTTAATTTATTGCATTTTAAACATGTTTTACCAAACGCTGGACACTTTCGGCGCCTATGAAGCGTACCACAGTATTTGCATGGCTGGGAAATGTACTCATTGTTTTCTTGCTTTGTTATTCTTGACTTGATACTATTTTGGTTTAACTTGAGTGCTTCTATTGTCTGGTTTTCCTGTGATCTGCATAATTCGTATGCATGTTTTCTTGTTGCTTCGGCTGCTTGGCCTAACTTTATGGCATCTTCAAGACTTAAGTTATCCATTCGAAGTAATCTCTCTCTTAAAGAATTACCCATAACTCCGATGACAATCATATCTCTAATCAAGGAGTCCTGTAAAGTTGCAAATTCACATTGCGAGCTTCGCTTCTTTAGTTACGTAACAAATGCATCAAATGACTGACCTTCTCCTTGTCGGTATGTAAAAAAATGATGGTGTACAAGTGTAATGTTCTTTCGTGGCTTGCAGTATGCTTCAAACTTTTCCATAACTGGCTTTAGCTTCATTTTGTCGCTGTCATTCGCGAACGTAAATGTATTATAGATTTCGAGGCCTTGCTTGCCAATGCATGTCAGAAATATTGAAGTCTTGATATTATCTGATTTCGCATCAGATTCTGTAGCAGTAATATATAACTCAAACTGCTGTTTCCATCTGTCCCATTGCTCAGATATGTTGCCTTCAAAAACTAGCGGTTCTGGTGGACGAAATTTGTTCATCCTGACACCATGTAATGATTATAAGAGAGTAACTATCTTTATTCTAGCTAGTATATATGATGCTAAGTCTATTTACAAAAGCTCTATTTATACCCTAATTCTAATAGTACCAGGCGTACTCATGCATATATAATTAATTATGACAGTACTATTTATGACAGTACTATTTGACATTAGTCATGACAGTACCATTTATGTTTATCTCAATGTTTACCCAAAACACATGCATTACGCACATTGGCAAAGAAAACTAGCCAGTACTTTCAATTAACACATACTGTGACATAGTAGTAACTTATAGTCTTAAAGTTTGTATATCTGTTCACAGGCCAGTTAATTTTTCTTCAAGACAACCACATTCCAAAAGTCCTATTTAAATAGGTGTACCAGAATGTGGAATGTACTACCAAAGAACTTGACAGGCAATAACACCAGCCTTAGTCAGTTAAAAAATGGACTTTTTATGTACTATAAAGTAGCATTACAAACGGGTTATGGTCTACGACGTGGATGATCCAAGAACATGGAAATCAATATGTTTGTCCTGTAACAAGTCCCGTAATCTGTCCTGTGAAGTATTGTGTTGTGTTATTAGTTTAATGTGTTTGTGATGTCGTTTCTTATATGTAAGGGCCGCTGTAATTGGCGTAAGCTGTAGCATGTTCCCTGCCATTGTCCATATATGTATTTTCTGTGTTTTAATGTTTATTGGCAAAATTAAATAAATAAATAAATATGTCTCTATATAGTGCACAATAATTAAATACTCTGTTTGCAGGAATTTTAAAGACGGAGTGAAGTGTATTTCCTATATCATTTATCAGGTTGTAATGGGAATGTTGTTTATCTTTTCCAGGATCCAAGCATCCGAATAGTTCACTTGCTTTCGACCCAATTTCTCTGTCTTGTTCATCTCTATAATACGTATTCGGAGCAACTAGATTTTCTTCACTTTCAATATCTTGTACTTTTCTTTATCTGATTCTCGTATTGTTTTCTGTTTTGTTCTATCACATCTTTGATAATTTCATATTGATCCTGGTGAGTTTCAAAGTCTTTCAGAGGATCTGTGTTTTCATTTCTCCAAGCAGTGTAAAGCATTATCTGTTCTCTGCAATAATTTTTTGAATCTTTGTTTTTATTAAATCGAACTGACCGTATTATTCTTGGTATTTGTCTCTTCGAATGTCATTCCACCTTTCATTTCATATTCATCATTTTCAAATATTTCCTGGTCTTCATCAGAAGATCATCTACATTATCATCGAAATTACTCGCTGTAAGATAGTCATCTATTGGTGGTGAATTTGATTTAAGTTTGCTTTTTTGGTTACTGTCACTTTTACAGTTGAACCAAGCCACAAAATCAGCCAGACATAAATTTTCCAATTCCTTTGGTCTTCTCAATCTTTTAATAATGTTATCTGATTCAATATCAACAGAATGGTGAGGAAGTTCTTTAATTTTATCCATACTTTAACAAAACAAGAATGTTCTTTTATGTGGGTCAGATGTATTGATAAATTGGAATTATTGAGACGATCGTCTCAAAGGCATTTGCATTACTAAGTAGATAGCTTCTTGTGCACTAATTTCAACAGCATTAAGAAATTTGTTACCAATATGTCTCACCTTGTTAACAATATTCTTATTGCCTGCCAAGATCCCAGCAAGATCATGCCAAGATCTTATCCAAAGATCTTACATAAATCCTGCAAGATCATCATACCATGAAAGAAGAATCATGAAGATCTTACCATTATCTCCCTGGAAGATCTTACCATGTTCCTCCAAGATCTTATCACAAATCTTGCAAGATCTTGCCATGATGGTCCAAGATCTTACCACAAATCCTGCCAGATCTTACCACAAATCCTGCAAGATTTTGCCATGATCCTGCAAGATCCTACCATGATCCTCCATGATCTTGCCACAAATCTTGCAAGATCTTGCCATGATCCTGCAAGATCTTACCACAAATCCTACAAGATCTTGCCATGACCTCGTAAGATCTTACCACAAACCCTGCTGGAAGTGTACAATTTTGCCATAAATTCAGTGTCGATCTTTATTAAACTGTAATCAATTAATTCATGCAAATTATATAATACTCAAGCTTTTACCAGGTTTAGTTTGCATAGTCAACATAGTAAATTAGGCCAATAATGTTGGTAAAATGTCAATATCAGTGGCGAAGCCACCTTGATAAGTCGGAGGCATATTCATATATTCGTATGCACAGACCGTAAAAACAATCAATTTCAAAAGAAATTAATAATGCAGAACACGAATATATGAATATCCCCCCCCCCACTTATCGAGCTGGCTACGCCACTGATCAACATATATGGCGATTGAAATAAAGTCCGAATGAAAGTTCCACCACAAAAGGAATCTTGTCTGCATGTTCTTAATAATGTTGTTCTAAAGTATTGAGTTTCAAGATGGAACTTTTATTCAGAGGTTTTTTCATACTTTACATCGTGAAACTTTATTAGTGTTGTTATTGCAAGTTCTTTGAATTTGTTTTTCTTCGCATATTGCGGCACTTTTTTGATTGCACGCATCCATGATAATTTGGCATGTTTTCTGTACTCTTTCTTCGCCATACTTGGCGTTGAGGACAGCTATATCGTAAAAAGACTGTATTAAAAAGATCTGTTAAGACTATTTGCAGTAAGTCTATTTTTTGTATTTATGTTTATCTCAATGTTTACCCGAAACACATGCATTACGCACATTGGCAAAGAAAACTAGCCAGTACTTTCAATTAACACATACTGTGACATAGTAGCAACTTATAGTCTTAAAGTTTGTATATCTGTTCACAGGCCAGTTAATTTTTCTTCAAGTCAAATCACATATATTGTTCTTACCAAACAATTTAGTGACCCTGACGGGATCCAGTGCTGGTTTTGGCGATCTTTTTGACTGGAATAGTATTCCATCCTGAAGCTCTTCCGATGAAAATAAGATGTCCAATAATTTAATTACAACCCATGTAAAATAGTGTTTTTCTCCCTTGGCGGTGCATTTACGGTCATCAAATTTATGTCATTGTGCCACTAAAATGAATTAACAATACTTGATATTAAATCGCTGCATAGTTAAATTCAAATGTAGCCAGTGTGGCCGGCTCTTTTATGTTAAACTGAATATGAACATATATTTAGTATAAAATCGCTTATACAAAACCGATTGTTTCTCACAAAACGAAACGCCAACGTTCCTTCCCGCCAACTCCGTGCACTCTACCGCGGGCTCAGACCTAGAGAGTACTTGGTGTAACTATGCATTTACAATATGCAGTCTCACAATCTCCTGTCTCTTTCTTTATAACAAAACTAAACTTAACTGTTAGATAATCATGCAAAATTTAAATTTGTCCACATTTTAGTGTGTCGATTAATGTTTGGGTGTTCACGACTCTTTGTATCAACCCAATTGACTGTTATCTCCTTGCGTTTAGCACTTTCTCTCAGAGCAGCAATGTCTACTCGCAACCTCTTCTCTTCCATAGCTTTCATTGAATGCACTGCTTCGGTAAGTGACATATTGTCAGTGTATATCTCGGTTGTATGCAACTGCTTATCTTTCAGTTCATCCAATAAATGAGACAGCCACACTGAAGTGTCCACTGCATCCAACAGTGACATCGTTTCTGCAGCAATTGTGCTTCTGCAAACTCTCCTCAACTTTTTGGATATCCAAGTGATTGGTGAAGCTCTTCCTTCCCTGTCCACAAGAAATATGATACCTCCTTGAGAGGATCCATCTTTGAGATTAGCATATGATGCATCACAATACACTACCAACTTCCATGGCTGTTTTAATGCCACATACTTTAGTGAAAATCTATTTTGTTTCACCTTTCGTAAAACTTTGTTGGCTTGTAAAATATCCTGGACTGTTGCTGTGTTCAATCTTGTGCTCAACTGGCAAACATCAAATGCAATGTCAGGCCTAGACTGTGTAGAAATCCAGTTCAATTGTCCACAAATTTTCCGGAATAATGCCTGTTCGTCTTCATTTAAAACTCGGGACTTGTCAGTCTTTTTCTGAATTTCAACTTCTTCCATACTGTCAATGTACGAGTCTTGATTGAAATAAATGTCACCATCTGATTCGTCAATGTTCATCCCTAGGTACTTCATAGGCACTGTTTCTTCAGAACCCACAGTAAAAATTGTTTTAATATTCTGTATCAGATGCTCAAACTGAGTGGAACCACCATATAGAAAATCATCAACATG